TGGTGGGAACACAAATGTTTGTTGTGTTGTCCTATATATCTTTTGGTATTGCAAATATTTTTTATTTTAAAAAAGAGAGGATACCAAAAAAATAGTATACCAATGGCCAACAAGTACATTAAATGATTCTTTGCATTATTAGTCGTCAGGGAAATGCACAGTGAGATATTATTTCACACCCACTAGGATGGTCATGATTAAAAAAAAAAAAAAAAAGCCAGGTGCGGTGGCTCATGTCTATAATCCCAGAACTTTGGGAGGCTGAGGCGGGCGCATTATGAGGTCAGGAGTTTGAGACCAGCCTGGCCAATATAATGAAACCCCATTTCGACTAAAAATACACACAAAAAATTAGCTGGGCATGGTGGCAGGCATCTGTAATCCCAGCTGCTTGGGAGGCTGAGGCAGGAGAATTGCTTGAACCCAGGGGGCAGAGGTTGCAGTGAGCTGAGATAGCGCCACTGCACTCCAGCCTGGGGGACAGTGCGAGACTCTGTCTCAAAAAAAACAAAAAAAAAAAAACAAAAAAAAACGGGGCTGGGTGTAGTGGCTTACGCCTGTAATCTCAGCACTCTGGGAGGCTGAGGTGGGCCGATCACTTGAGGTCAAGAATTCGAGACCAGTCTGGCCAACATGGTGAATCCCCACCTCTACTAAAAATACAAAAATTGATCAGGCATGGTGGCTCACTCCTGTAATCCCAGCACTTTGGGAGGCCGAGGTAGGCGGATCACGAGGTCAGGAGTTCGAGACCATCCTGGCTAACACGGTGAAACCCCCTCCTCTACTAAAAATACAAAAAATTAGCCGGGTGCGGTGGCAGGCACCTGTAGTCCCAGCTACTCGGAAGGCTGAGGCAGGAGAATGGCGCGAACCCGGGAGGCGGAGCTTGCAGTGAGCCAAGATGGTGCCACTGCACTCCAGCCTGGGCGACAGAGTGACACTCTGTCTCAAAAAAAAAAAAAAAAAAAAAAGGACTCCGAAGCTGTGTCTGTGTCTGGACTTGGTAGGAAAGGCTCCTATGGTTGGTAAGAGATACCTGTCCTGGTCTCTTGACTCCCATATTCAAGACACTTAACACAAAGTGACAAATTAAGAAACAATTTCCTTAAAAGAAGCAATGATCCAACGTAGTACATGCTATAAAACACACAACAAAATGCACATAAGTCTTTCCTCTTTTAGAATGTAACTTATTTCAAGGTAGGAATGTATATGGGGTATGTATTGGCTATGTATAGGTCCCTCCTACTTGTATAGGTAGAAAGTTGATTCTCATATGGGAAGTAACTTGCCCAGGGTCACACAGCACTTCACTTGACAAGCTGGGACTTCAATGCAGGTCTCCTAAGGTTCAGGCCATGGCTCCTGCTCTCTATGCACAGCCTCCATGGCCTTTCCAACCACATACTCATCTCAGTCCAACATCATAGCAAGATGGTATTACTAAATCGTTTTTCTCTTCTGAACAAAATCTAAGTCTACACCTCAGTTTGCCTCCTTTGGGGTGTCCATTTGTCACTCACAATGTATTAGCCACATGCCATCTCCCTAACCACATACATAGTCCACAACAGACTCAAAAGTGATGGATCCAAGATTTCATAGGCCAGCCAGTCCTGTTCCCTTTGATGAAAGTTTCTGTCTCTAACTAGTCTGGTAGAAGGCTCAAATTTGTGAGCTTACAGTAGAGGTGGGAGAACCAAAGCGGAGATCAATCATCTTTCTGTATCAACTCTAACCTGATGGCAGGAATTGCAGAATGTGTTCCAAGGTGCTGCTTGTATTGCCCCCTAGTGCTAGAAACAGGAACAACACACTAGGCAAGCGGTAACATTTTCCAGCTGCAAAGACTTGACCTCAAAGATCTTAATTCAAATCGCAACACTTTATTTCACAGTAGAGGAAGACAAGGTTGATAGAGGCAAAGGGATTCAGCAGAGCCTACGGCAAATTAGTGGTGAAGTCAGAAATAGAACCAAGTTCTAAACTTTGACTCCTATATTCAAGATGCTTACCACAGAGTGATAAACTAAGAAACAATTTCCTTAAAAGAGGGATGATCCAACATAGTACATGCTATACAACACAGAGCAAAATGCACTTAAGTCTTTCCTCTGTTAGAATATAAACTGTTTAAAGGCAGAAACTTTAGTTGATATACCAAATACCCTTAGGATTAATAAATATTAATGAGAAGGATAATGGTCTTTAACTTCTATTGTGCTAGTCCCATTTTCTAGATGTTGGGCTTTATTAGCACTTGGCTGCCACAACCCCTACCCCACCTCTTTTTTTCATTCATTCAACAAATACTCATGGAGCATCTCCTATGTGCCAGGCACCATTATAAGTGCAGGAGATGCCATAGTGGCCTAAATGGAGTCCCTTCTCTTAGGGAGACCACACTCTAATTGGGGGAGATGGATAAGAAACATGTTAATAACCAAATACTTGGTATGTTGGTGATATGAAATGAATATCTGTGTTCCTCCCGCCCCCAAGATTCATATGTTGAAGCCCCAACCCCCAACATGACTGGATGTGGAGATAGGGCCTATAAAGAAGTAATTAAGGTGGCTGGGAGCAGTGGCTCATGCCTGTAATCCCAGCACTTTGGGAGACCGAGGCGGACGGATCACGAGGTCAGGAGATCGAGACCATCCTGGCTAACACGGTGAAACCCCGTCTCTACTAAAAATATAAAAAATTAGCCAGGCATGGTGGCACACACCTGTAGTCCCAGCTACTTGGGAGGCTGAGACAAAAGAATCTCTTGAACCCAGGAGGTGGAGGTTGCAGGGAGCCAAGATCACGCCACTGCACTCCAACCTGGCAACAGAGCAAGACTCTGTCTCAAAAAAAAAAAAAAAAAAAAAAAAGTAATTAAGGTAAAATAAGGTCTTAAGGGTGGGATCCTGATCCCTTATAAGTATTAGTGCCCTTATAAGAAGCAATACCAGAGAGCTGTCTCTCTCTTTCCCACAAGCATATGGAGAAGAGGTCATGTGAGCACACAACAAGAAGGTGTCCCCCCACAAGCCAAGAAAAGAGCCCTTGCCAGAAACCAAGTCAGCCAGAACCTTGATCTTGTACTTCCCAACATCTAGAACTGTGAGAACATAAGTGTCTGTTGTTTAAACCCCCTAGTTGGCTGCGAACAGTGGCTCAGGCCTGTAATCCCAGCACTTTGGAAGGCCTGGGGGGTCTGGGGGGCAGATCACTTGAGCTTCTGAGTTTGAGAGCAGCCTGGGCAACATGGCAAAACGCTATCTCTACAAAAAGTACAAAAGTGAGCCGGGCATGGTGGTGTATGCCTGTAGTCCCAGCTACTTGAGAGGCTGAACTGAGGTGGGAGGATGGCTTGGGAGGCAGAAGTTGCAGTGAGCCACTGTACTCCAGCCTAAGCAATAGAGGCAGACCTTGTCTCAAAAAATAAAAAAGGCGCCTAGTTTATGGCATTGTGTTGTGGCAGTCTGAGCCAACTAACTGGTAGTCATGATGACTATGAAGAGAAATAAGGCAGGATCGGGGCAGCAGGACGGTAGGAGGCAAAATGCTACTTCTAATAAAGTGGTAGGGAAGGCCTCTCTGATAAGGTGACAGCTGTATAGCTGGAGGAGTTTTTCACAGATATCACAGACATGTGATATCCACCCACTCTGATCAAGATATGAAACATTTTCGGCACCATCATGCTCCTTTGTGCACCTGTCAGTCAGTGCCCACCTAGGGGAAACCATTATTCTGACTTCCATCAGCACAGATTAATTTTGTCTGTTTCTGAGCTTCATATAGACATTGATGGACATTTAGGTTGTTTCCAGCTTGAAGTTATTATGCATAAAGCTGCAAATAACATGCTTGTTTTTTTTTTTGTTTTTTTTTTTTTTTTCAGATGGAGTCTTGTTCTGTCACCCAGGCTCAAGTGCAGTGGTGTGATCTCAGCTCACTGCAGCCTCCGCCTCCTGGGTTCAAGTGATTCTCTTGCCTTAACCTCCCAAGTAGCTGGGATTACAGGTGCCCATCACCATGCCCAGCTAATTTTTGTATTTTTAGTAGAGTCAGGGTTTCACCATGTTGGCCAGGTGGGACTCGAACTTCTCACCTCAGGTGGTCCACCCACCTGAGCCTCCCAGTGTTGGGACTACAGGCATAAGCCACCACACCTGGCCAAGAACATTCTTGAACGTGTCCTTTAGTAGATATAACACTCACTTCTGTTAAGTGTATGCCCAGGAGTGGAACTGCTGGGCCGTACAGTATCTATATGTTTATTTGTCTTTTTGCTTTTTCTGAGACAGAGTCTCGCTCTGTCACACAGGCTGGAGTGCAGTGGCATGATCTCAGCTCACTGTAACCTCCACCTCCCCAGTTCAAACGATTCTCCTGCCTCGGCCTCCTGAATAGCTGAGATAACAGACATGCACCATCATGCCCAGCTAATTTTTGTATTTTTAGTGGAGACAGGGTTTCTAGCCATGTTGGCCAGGCTGGTCTCAAACTCCTGACTTCAGGTGATCCACCCGCCTCAGCCTCCCCAAGTGCCGGGATTACAGGCGTGAGCCACAGTTCCCGGCCTATATGTTTAGATTTAGTAACCACTGACAAATATTTTTTCAAAGTGGTTGTATTGATATACGTTCCCACCTATGAAATAGGAGTTCCAATTGTTCCTGACCAATACGTGGTATGTTAGTCCTTTTCTGTTGCCATTCTGGATAAGTACGTTATGGTATCTCTTTGTGGTTATTTTTTGTTTATTTTATTGTACTGTATTTTCTTAGACAGGGTCTCACTCCCATCGCCCAGGCTGGAATACAGTAATGTGATTACTGCTCACTGCAGCCTCAACCTCCTGGGCTCAGGTGATTCTCCCACATCAGCCTCCAAGTATCTGGGACTACGCCCAGCTAATTTTTGTATTTTTTGTAGAGACAAGGTTTCACCATGTTGCCAAGGCTGGTCTTGAAGTCCTGGGCTCAAGCATTCCGCCCACTTTGGCCTCCAAAAGTGCTAGGACTAGAAAACAAGGCCCACACTGGACGGGGCAGCTGCTGGGCTGCTACTCTCGCCGCCGCCATGATTCCCCCCGCAGATTCTTTGCTCAAGTACGACACCCCTGTACTGGTGAGCCGGAACACGGAGAAACGGAGCCCCAAGATTGCAGAATTGGAGACGGAAAAGAGAGACCTGGAGAGGCAAGTGAACGAGCAGAAGGCAAAATGTGAAGCCACCGAGAAGCGGGAGAGCGAGAGGCGGCAGGTGAAGGAGAAGAAGCACAATGAGGAGATTCAGTTCCTAAAGCGGACGAATCGGCAGCTGAAGGTCCAACTGGAAGGCATTACTGCACCAAAGAAGTGATAATTTCCACATGATAATTTCCAACAAGACACTTGGGATTATTTACTATGTTCTTCTGGCAGCCAATAAAATCATCATAAGCCATTTGTAAAAAAAAAAAAAAAAAAAAAAAAAAAAAGTGCTAGGACTATAAACATGAGCCACCGTGCCCGGCCTCCTTGTGATTTTAATTTACATTTCTCAGATGACAAAAAATTGTTGAGCAGCTTTTCATATGTTTATTGTTCTTTTTTTTTTTTCTTTCTTTGAGACAGAGTTTCATTCTTGTTGCCCAGGCTGCAGTGCAATGGCACGATCTCAGCTCACTGCAACCTCTGCCTCCGGGTTCAAGTGATTCTCCTGCCTCAACCTCCCGAGTACGTGGGATTACAGGCGCCTGCCACCACACCCAGCTAATTATGGATTTTTAGTAGAGACGAGGTTTCTCCATGTTGGTCAGGCTGGTCTCGAACTCCCGACCTCAGGTAATCTGCCTGCCTCGGCCTCCCAAAGTGCTGGGATTACAGGCATGAGCCACCGTGCCCGACCGTATTGTTCCTTTTTATATTATTTTTTGTGAAATGCCTGTGTAACTCTTTTGTTCATTATAATAATTGGGTAGTCTACCCACAGAATGGGAGGAGATATTTGTGAATCATATGTAAGAGTCTAGGCTGGACATGGTGGCTCATGCCTGTACAGTCCCGGTGCTTTAGGATGCAAGGCAGGTGGATTGCTTGAGCCCAGGAGTTTGAGACCAGCCTAGGCAACATAGCAAGACCCTGTCTCTACAAAAAAAAAAAATTTTAATTAGCTAAGAATGGTGGCGTGAGCCTGTAGTCTCAAGCTACTCAGAAGGCTGAGGTGGGAGGATTGCTTGAGTCGAAGAGGTCAAGGTTACAGTGAGCTATGATCATGTCACTGCACTCCAGCCTGGGCGACAAAGTGAGACAATCTCTCCATAAACACACAAACAAATGAACAAATGAAAAGGACTCATTCTTAATCCACAGCTGTCCTGTGAGCCCACAGTTCTTTATCTGAGTTTTTTTTTTAATCTCCATGTGAATATGGATATATGGATGATGACAACTTCAGAATTTTCCCACCTAGAACCTTTGGGATCTAAGTTCTGTTCTTTTCTTTTCTCTTTTCTTTTCTTTTCTTTTCTTTCTTTCTTTCTTTTTCCTTTTCTTTTCTTTCTTTTTTTTTGACAGAGTCCCACTCTGTCGCCCAGGCTGGAGTGCAGTGGTACGATCTTGGCTCAATGCAGCCTCAACATCCCAGGCTCAAGCCATCCTCCCCACTCTGCTTCCTAAGTAGCTAGGACTACAGGTGTGCACCACCATGGCCAGATAATTTTTTTAGAGATGGGGTTTTGACATGTTGCCCAGGCTGGTCTCAAACTCCTGGGCGCAAGTGATCCCCTGTCTCAGCCTCCCAAAATGCTGGGATTATAAGCATGAGCCACAGTGCCCAGCCCAAGTTAATGCTTTCTACGTTCTGTTTAAGAAATCTTCATCTACCCCAAGGTCATGAAATATTCTCCTATGTTTTCTTCTAGAAGCTTTATTTGTCTCAAATTTAAGTCTATGGTCTACTTCCAGTTAATTTTTTTGTCTAGTGTGAGGTATGGGTCAAGGTTCTTTATATATATATATATATATACACACACACACACACACACACACAGCGATTAAAGTTTCTGGGACCATTTATTAAAACAACCATCCACTTCCCACTGCACTGTAGTGTTACCATTGCTGTAAAACTGGTGGCCATCTATTAATATATGAGGGTCTGTTTCTGAACCCTATGTACTATTCTGTTGGTCTGTTTTCCACCTTGCACAAGAACCACGTGGTCTTATTTGCTGTAGCTTTTTAGTCAGTTTCAACTCTAGTAGTATAGGTCCTCCAGCTTTGTTGTTCTTCTTTGATACTGCCATGATTAGATCTTTTTCATTTCCATATAAATTTTTTTTTTTTTTTTTTTTTTTTTTTTTTTTGAGATGGAGTCTTGCTCTGTCGCCCAGGCTGGAGTGCAGTGGGGCAATCTTGGCTCACTGCAAGCTCCGCCTCCTGGGTTCACACCATTCTCCTGCCTCAGCCTCCGGAGTAGCTGGGACTACAGGCGCCTGCAACCACACCTGGCTAATTTTTTGTATTTTTAGTAGAGACGGGGTTTCACCATGTTAGCCAGGATGATCTCAGTCTACTGACTTTGTGATCTGCCCGCCTCGGCCTCCCAAAGTGCTGGGATTACAGGCGTGAGCCACCGTGCCCGGCCTGCATTTCCATATAAATTTTGGAACCAGGCTGGACACAGTGGTTCATGCCTGTAATCCCAATGCTTTGGGAGGCTGAGGCAGGAGGATCACTTGAGCCCTGGAGTTCAAGACCACCCTGGGCAATATAGTGAGATCCCCATCTTTACGAAAAATAAAATAATTAGCCACATGTGGTGATGTGTGTCTGTAGTCTCAGCTACTTGGTAGGTTGGGGTGGGAGGGTCACTTGAGACCAGGAATTTGAGACTGCAGTAACCCGTGATCACACCATTACACTCCAGGCTGGGTGACAGCAAGACGCTGTTTTTAAAACCAAATAAATAAACAAATCAGCCAGGCGCAGTGGCTCACGTCTGCAATCCTAGAGCTTTGGGGGGCCAAGGCTGGTGGATCACCTGAGGTCAGGAGTTCAAGACCAGCCTGGCCAACATGACAAAACCCCGTCTCTACTAAAAATACACAAATTAGCCAGGCATGGTGGTGTGTGCGTGTAGTCCCAGCTACTCGGGAGGCTGAGACAGGAGAATTGCTTGAACCAAGGAGACGTAGGTTGCAGTGAGCCAAGATTGTGCCACTCCACTCCAGCCTGAGTGACAGAGCAAGGCTCCGTCTCAAAAAATAATTTAAAAAATAAAAATAAATAAATAAACTTAAAAGGCCAACTAACAGTTGACAATTTATAGACACATGCATACCCACACACCCTACTGAAAGGATTTGATTGGGATTACATTGAATCAATAAATCAATTTGGGGGGGACTGACAGAGCTGAGAAGCAAGTGGCCAGTCACAACCTCTCTTCTGGGGAAGCAAGCAAGGAATGATCCTGTTTCAGCAGGTTCACATGCCTCCCCCGACACCCCTCTTCTCTTTCCTGTCATCTGCAAGGTTTCACTAAAGCTACTTTCTCCCAGAAATTCTTGTTTCCTCCTCTGAACTCCCACATAGAGCTCTCCACATCTTTCTAATGTATCTCAACACAGTTCTACATTGTATTAAAGACCTTCGGTTCCCTGGTTGTTTGCGAGCTTCTAGAGAACAGGGTTCCATGTCTGATCATTTGGGAGTGGGCAAGGGAAACAGTATAATGAAATGGGAAAAGTATAGACCAGTGTGATCCAATGGAACTTCCACAATGATGGAAACGTTCCACACTTGTGCATCACTTGATGAGGAACGCTGTCTGAGAAATGCATCATTAGGCGATTTCACCTCGTGAGCATCATGGAGTGCGTTTTCATAAACCTAGCTGGTGTAGCCTACTGCACACCTAGACTATATGGTGTAGCCTATTGCTCCCAGGCTACAAATCTGTAAAGCATGTCGTTGCACTGAATACTGTAGGCAATTGTAACACAATGGCAAGTATTTGTGTATCTAAACACATCTAAACATAGAAAAGATACAGTAAAAATACAGTATTATAATGTTATGGGAAGACTTTTGTATATGCCGTCCGTCATCAACTGAAACATCATTACGTGGTACATAACTGTAGTTGCACTGCCCTATGGTATGGCCTGTAGCCAGCTATGGCTGTTGAATGCTTGAAAGGTGGCTCATGGGGCTGTGGAACTGAATTTTTAATTTTGTTAATTGTTATTAATTAAATTATTTATTTACTTCTTCATTCACTCATTCATTTACTTATTTATCAGACAAGGTCTCATTCTGTCACCCAGGCTGGAGTGCAGTGGCACGATCATAGCTACTGCAGCTTTGAACTCCTGGGCTCAAGCAGTCCTGCCACCTCAGCCTCCTGAGTAGCTGGGACTAACTGAGACTCCTGTGCACCACCATGCCTGGCTAATTTTTAAAGTTTTTTTGCATAGATGGGGACTCACTATATTGCCCAGGCTGATCTTGAACTCCTGGCCTTAAGCAATTATCTTGCCTCAGCCTTCCAAAGTGCTGGGATTACAGGTGTGAATCATAACACTTGGCCTGTTGTTAAATTTATTTATTTATTTTTATTTTATTGTTTGAGATGGGGTCTCACTCACTCTGTTGCCCAGGCTAGAGTGCAGTGGCACCATCTCAGCTCACTGCAACCTCTGTCTCCTGGATTCAATCGATTCTCCTGCCTCCCCTTCCCAAGTAGCTGGGATTACAGGCATCCGTCACCATGCTCACCTAATGTTTGTATTTTTAGTGGAGACAAAGTTTCACTGCATTGGCCAGACTGGTCTTGAACTCCTGACCTCAAATAATCCTCCCACCTCAGCCTCCTGAAGTGCTGGGATTACAGGTGTGAATCATACCACTCGGCCTGTTATGAATTAAATTTAAATAGCCCTGTGGGCCCAATGGCCACTGTCTTAAGTAGCACGGGGCTAGACTTTGAAGAAAGAAAATTGACCCTCAGTTCTGTCACTCAAAAACTCTCAGGAAGCCCTGTCCACTCTACTTCCCAAATGTGTTCCAGATCCATTGCCCCCTCCTGTCCCCATGCCACTCTTGCCTAGCTCACTGCCACAGACTGGTCCAGATTATTCTCTTGCTCCTAGCCTGATCTTTCAGATTAAAAATATGGTCCTGGGCTGGGCATGGTGGCTCACACCTGTAATCCCAGCACTTTGGGAGGCCTAGGCAGGTGGATCACTTGAACCCGGGAGGCGGAGGTTGAGGTGAGGCGGAGGTTGAGGTGAGGCGGAGGTTGAGGTGAGCCGAGATCGTGCCATTGCACTTCAGCCTGGGTAACAGAGCGAGACTCCATCTCAAAAAAAAAAAAAAATCTGGTCCTGTTTCTTCTGTACTGAAAATACTTCAGTGTCCCTTACTGACCATCATGGTTTCTCAAACCAGGAACTAATG